GAATATCAATTCGCAGATAATTAAGTCATTAAATTCATAAAATAATAAAATGAATAAAAGTGAATAGTGAACGGAGGCAATTTTTTTTACAAAGAGCCGAAAAGCCATGACTAGACTGACTGACTTGGAAAAGATAAAAGTATTGGACTATTGAGTTGATTGGTCCAAGAATGTTAAATATGTTGGAGTAACCTTGGACCGTAGACTCAGCTTCACAAAACACATTAATATCAAAATTGGACAGACGTACGAGATGTTAAATCTACTGAGACCTCTCTTGAACGATAACAGCTATATTTCACACTAATCAGATATATAATGATATATGCTGCTTCAGCATGGAACGCGACGACTAAGACTAACTTACAAAAACTAAAGACAATAAAACACTGCGACTAGTACTCAACAAAATAAAGGACCAACTGACTAGACTTGCGCACCATCAATACTCGACCACATAAAGAAGCTCACTACCTTAAATGTGAGGATCACCATGATACCGACATCGCGGGTCACGGCCAATTTACTAAAGACACAGTTTGGTGTGGCAAACATGCCATGCCGAACTTTATCCTTAGCGACCCACAGCAGCAAATGATACTTGGATCGTCACTCTGATTTTTCTTCAAAGCGAATAAATCTTTTGTTTTTTGTAATTGTTTATTATTATAAATATTGCTATGCGATTTTTTGAGAAAATTTTCCTTTCCTCTTTTTTTGTCACACAATTATGGCATACTTTTATATTCTAAATACGTATTATTTTTTACTAGAATAGATATGACGGATACTATACCTATGGGTAAATATACAAACGAAATAAAGAATGTTATGTACATATTTATATTTATTGAAATATATGTTTTTGATATAAAAAATAAAATAATTAAGATAACATTAACACGTAAGTTCAATCGGTACATAAAACAAAATAAAATGGTTAAATTTTAGATTTTTTTTTAATAAAATTATTAAAACAACTCACATCAACATCTTTCAACATGCAATATAATTGCAAATTGAAAATTGTGTTGCTATAATATTTTGTGCCATGTGCCAAATTTTACGTAAATGCATCTTTGCAATATTTTGTTAACTTAATGAAATAAATTTACAAAACGAAATCAAACGATAACAACGCGCTCATATCAACCAATCTTAAGGTTTCAAAGCATAGTCTTTTGATTTGCCTTCAGCGAAGGAGGTAATTAAGGTAATTTAAGAACTCAACACAACTTTCATACCTTTATTACAAAACGGAATACAGATACATTAAATTTAATTATTTGGTTATGTGTCCTTTTTGACGTACAGAGAGCGACTGCTAGATCTAAAGATCAGCCGGAAATATAGAGTCTATAGAAACGCATAGAGTGGAACTCGATTGTCAACTCCATAGATGAATATAGTTGGCCCATAGAGGTATAAATGTGACTCTAGATAGATAAGGGTGTCGGCACATAACAATACCTTAGAAACATGTATATATACCGAGCTAATCAACGCCGGTTCTTATCGAATTACATAGATTAGCTTTTAAATTTTTGAAATCGGTCGAGATGATTTTGAGAAAACGTCGATGTAAGGTCAAAAATCGGCTCACACACAGCCACATATACGCACAAATATATAATTGAATATTCTTGATCCTCCCCCCACAAAGTAATGCCTAACCGCGGTTTCCGTGGGGACCAGAGACAAGGGCTAAGCGGAGGTTTTATTTAGTATTATACACGGGCGGTATTGAATCCGATATACCCAGACAAAACACCAGTCTGGGATGCATAAAGGCATTTCCTTCGCTATACAAAAAACACACACATATATATAAATATATATATATATATATATATATATATATATATATATATATATATATATATATATATATATATATATATTATATTTGGTCTCATTCGATTCAGAATGACTTGAAACGTTGGGAAAACATAAAATTAGCAAATCTGATTTTGTCGAAAAAACATAACCTACTCCTTCGAAACGTTGAAAATGTCATTTGGCGGCCAAAAATGGTCATTAGATACATCACATTATCGGACATTTAACAGTTAGTCTACGAAACGGCGCTTTCGCGCTACGATATTTCGAATCTAAAAAAGCTACGCAGTGATCGCTGTCATTTTAGTGAGAGTTTGTCGGAGCAAATGCTTCGTTTTTGGGAAAAGTAAGAATTACTGGTTTCAAATATTCATAAACTTCAAAATCTTCAAAATATTTTTCTTTTAAAGTCGATTTTATTAATTTTTTTTTTTTGAATTTCAAATTTTTCAAATGTTTTCTAAATTTAAAAAAAAGAATCAAAATTTTCAAAAGTTGCTAAAATTCGAATCAAATCTTATTTTAGTTAGACTAATGAAACATCGATAATTTGATATGTGGCAAATGTGATATGAGGAACTTAAAGTAAGACTATTGTCCTTGTCTCTTAAAAATCGAAATGGAACATTTGTTTTTTCATTTCGGTCTTTTAACAACCAAGAATCTTAATCATCAGTATTGCTTAAAGACACCTATATGATGAAAAAACAGTATTGTAACGGCTCGAAAACTGATTTAATACAAATTAATAAATAATAAAGACATTCATAAAGCTTTTTTTTTAAAAAAATACAACAAGTACAAAATACTACGAATGGAATAGAAAATTATTATATAATAACCAGTTACAAGATATATCTCATATTGAATATGACTCACGTCAAATAAGAAAAAATTGTGTATAAAATGTTTAACATAAGACAAGTATTAATTTTCGATTATATTAAACAAATAACATTATATTATTTATTTTCAAACTTTTTTTCTAAAAATATCAGTAAGCAAAACATGTTTTTGACATGGAAGTATCTTATCGAATATTTTATTCATATGTATTGTAATTGAATATAAAAATAATCCATTAAGATAAGAGAGATTCATTAGCTGTCAGATTTGTATCTGCATTGCTAATTTTTATTCGGTCACTATTTGGTCTGCGGCTGAATATAATTAAGATAAATTTTAAATATGCACATGTTGACATCTGTTCGAAAGATTCTAACTGTATTGAAAATTGATTCATAGAAATTAAAAAAATGTATAAAAACATGAAACATTCACACAAGTGATTTTTTAGACATAAAGCAATACTGTTATATAAATAAAAGTATTTTACTTTAATAAAATTCCATGATTCAACAGCTTTTTATTCATGTTCAGAAAGCATATGTACAGAGTAGAATTTGTACATAATACAGAGGCCTTTAGTTATATAAAACAGGACTATTTACGTATTAATAATAATCATGTTGTTTCTCATTGACATTTTACACTACAGTATCCAAGTGGAATATTTTCAATTAGGAATATATTTTTGATCGACAAGTTTATGTGGAAATTAGTATCAATACTAATATCAGGTTGATCTGAGCGCGAAAGCGAATCGTGTTCCTTTTCGACGATGGGGTAACAAATAATACATAAAGAAATATTTTCATAAAATGAATTTAGTTAAAACTAGAATACTGTTTCGTATATACCAGTAAAAACAGATTCCCTTCTTTTGTGTTACTATCAATAGGGGCGGAGTTGAATTTTAAGAGGGGTTTTTAAATAAAACAAAAATCTTATTAAAAATTTACGAACTCCATTTTATAAACTCTTATGCGACTACTCATGCTGCGTCGTTGAGTTTTGTATGCGAAAGTTAAAAATGACAAAGTTATGTAATGGCTTTGCTGCGCTGAAGTTATGGCTGGAATGGCTCAGTCAGTAGCGTGCACAACTCACACGCCAAGGTTACGAAAATTTCTTGCTTTGAGATAGAAAAGAATCAGATTAATAACATCATTTTTCATCTCGAATGCTATCAGTGAGTTCTTGACTGAATTTTGATTGATATTTTATGAGCTTTTGAAGAAGCTTAATTTTATCAAGGGCTGTAAAACTTAAACACATATTTTTTAATGTATTGGATAAATTTTCCGATGTTTTAAAAAAGGGGATTTAAATAATACATGCATGCATTCAAATTGGAAATTTTGAATTTCAAACTGGTCGTATTTTTGTGGACGTTTTTCACTGAATTTCGATTAAGATTTTTTGAAGTTAGAGCTTATTGTTTTTTTTTCTTAAAATATTTTATTTTTTTTATTTTCATTACGGATTGAGCAGCTCTAACACCCTTTTGATTTTTTTGAAAACATTTTTTTTATTTTTTTACTAGACACTCATTATTAATCATAATTTATACCTATAGATACTGCAGAAATAATAATAATAGAAATATAAAAATTGATATATCTAGTGGTGATGGCATCGTGACTTAAGGCTTAAGGAACTCCCCGTACCGCAATGAAATATTTGAGAAATATTAAATATTTTTGAATAGATTATTATATATATATATTGTAACTTACATTATTCGTTTTTTATAGACAAAGTATAAGAGCTAATCAATTGAACGACGACGATTACATATGTTCACCGAAAAGTAAATAAAGGACATATTGAAGTATGTAAGTAAGCTTTAGAACTTTAGTTAGAATTAAAATTAAAATCTGAATTATTTTCGATATCAAATAAAATATTTTATGTAAATTTAAAAAAAAAATGCATTGGGTATAAAGCGTAGTTTTACTTTAAAAAATCCCTTATAATTAATTGATGAGATATATAATTTTTTTTAGAAAAATAGCAAAAAAACATATTTCTATAATTAGACAAAAACTATGAAAATTTCGGAACATATCGCAAACGACAAGTTTCAACAGTTTACAACGCATCTTGCTAACACCCAGAAAACATAAACAAACTCAGAAATAAATATTTCTAATAACTGCCAGTTACAAAATTAATTTTTAAAAAGTTAATAAAAATATAAAATGTCTGAAAGTTTTGTTTTGGTAAAATACTAAATGTTAGTGAATCAATTTCAAGAATTTTGTTTATTATTTTTAATTTTCATTTACTGTATTAATTAAGATGAATGAATTTCTTACCTCCACTTGGTTCGCCTGTTTTGGAACCACGTTTTGACTTGCGCGTCTGTCATTTTCAAACCTCGCGCTAATGCAGCGCGTTCTGCAGAAGCGAGGTATTTTTGTTTATGAAACCTCTTTTCCAGTTCTGCTACCTACGAAGAGATATAAATCAATTTTTAATTTGTTCACGCCTTCACAGTTGAACCACAACATTTTGGCTAATTGACAATTCAAACGATATATCATTCTTCATGATAAAATATAGACTAGAAAACGAATAGAACTAAAATTAGTAAGTATTTGATAAAAATTAAAATAGCTTAAATTTAAAATTTCAATGTATGCAGTAAAGCAAAATCTAAAGTTTTGTAGAATGGTCCAACACCATTAACTCAAAAACAAATAATTATGGCTTTTTTTACGACACAATTTTGAACTAGATATCTAATTATGTGTAATCAGCCATTATCTTAAATCTAATTGCACGTTTGTGCCCAATCCTACCCTATGTAAAATATTCTTATTTTACTATATTAAAAAATATATCATAGTGTCAATAACAATACAGAAAGTTTTTTTATAAATTTTATTGGCTTACATACAATCAAGTATTAATTGCATTATTGCATCATATAAATGCGATTTTATTTATTAACTTTCCGTAGAGTAAAGTTTTTATATTTCTTTACATGCCAAAGGTCTGAACATTTTGCAATACCTTAGAAAAAATGTATATGTGTGTGTGTGTGTCTTTTTTTTTTTTGTATAGCGAAGAAAATACGTTTACGTATTCAACAGACGCAAATTGTCTGGATATGCCGGACACAACAATGTTAATACCAACTAAAACCGCCGCTTTCCCCAGGCCTTGGAGCTCCCACGGAAACCGCCGTTAGGCATTACTTCGTGGGGGAGGATCTACCAACTGCATTTTTTTCTAAAACCTAAGATGTCATACATCTTTCACTTGCTTTTTTCCTTCCAATGTGACGCAGTGCTATGAAGACTTCTGTAACATTGCTTCCGTTAGCGTTTTTGGTCGAATTCACTGCTTTAGAATTGTTTCTCGTTTATTCCGCTGTGTACTAAAGCCTCGACACTCAAAGAAAACATGCTCTGCACCTTTATTAACTTCTTTGCAAACTGGGCACTTGGAAGTATCATCGTGCTTAGAGCGATGAAGATAATCCCGAAAGCAGCCGCGTCCAGGCAGCATCTGCGTTAGATAGTAGTTGAACTCTCCATGCCTCCGGTTCAGCCAAATGTCAATCTTAGGTATGTGACGGTGCGTCCATCTACCCTTTTCTGCGGCATCCCACTATAGTTGACAACGTCTTATGCTATTTTGACGTTCTTCGGTTTTGAGATCCTCAGCGCTTTGTATCGGTGATCTGCGTTGGTAAAGGTATCGTCTTTCTTCAGCTGAACTCTATGAGGCAAAGATCCTGCAATTACACACACTGCTTCCTCAGATATTGGGCGAAATACGCCTATTACTCTTAAGGCACTTAGGCCTTAACCAAACTTAGGTATACAGAACCAAAATTTCTCCATGCTTCTTGAAGCTCTAGTGCAACTGCCCAAATAGGTACTCCATAAGTGAGATATATAGTTTCTATGATTTTTGTGCTAGTGATGAGTACTGCTTCTGTCTTCTGATTAGCTAGTTAAAGATTTTCAGTATCTATCCAGAGATTTACTATCTCTAAGGTTACGTTGAACAAATGGCGTATTTCATCTAGGTATTTCGCGACGATTACTACGGCTACGCCGTCATTTCTTTAGTCGCAAAAGCCCAAGAACTGAGCCTTCACGAATTATTTGTTCGAATATCTTACCAATCGTATCCAACATGAGTGAACGGTAGGATGACGGTTCTTCTAGGTGCTTATATCTCTTAGGGAGAAGTACAAGTCGTTGTTGTTTCCACTTTCTGAGAAAAGTCCCTTCTTTTAGGCATGCGTTGTAGACGTCTAAGAATAGTGACGGCGTTGCCTTAATGATGGTATTTAAAGCTATGTTAAGGATTCCATCCAATCCCCGAGCTTCATTTTCCTACACGGTTATAAGCATCCACTAGTGACTTTTTCTGTGACTGGTGGAATGTAATCCAGTTCGCTTGGCGCAAGCTGATACCTAAAACTGCGTTGCTGTGGAAACAACGCATCTACGACTTTCTAAAGGAATTGAGGACACGTAGGTGTCTGCACTTGTTCTTTTTTCAGCCGAGTCATAACCACCTTGAAAGGCCTACCCCACATGTCTTTGTCCACTTCACATATAAGCTCTGTCTTTGCTTTCTTTTTTGCCTTATTCAATACACGACGAGATTTCTTGTACTGTGCAAACAGTTCCTCAAAGTTAGGCCGTTGATAGCCACTCTGGGATATTCTTCTTTTTTAAGGCACTCTTTACAAAGGGCACTGATGTGATCGTTCCACCAGTACAGTGAGTTTATGCTACCTTCACGATGCATACTGGCGTCACAGGCCTGGGTCATTTTTTTCATCAGATCCTTGGTACTTTTTTCTGCGCATTCCTTGACGATTGAGTTGCTATCGAGTGCAATTAACAATGCATCTCGGGCAAGAGGTTTTGCTCTCCAGCCAGCGTGACTTGCGTTATAGATCTTCTAATGTATTAGAAGAGTTTCGCATGATGATCGCTGACAGTGTAGATATCCATCACCCTCCAATTAGGGTTACCTCTGATGAGGCCAGAAAGTCAGTAAATTCCGCAATGAAAATGCTAGTTGTAAAAGCGGATGCCAGCTACTAATGCTGATACAAAACCAACACAGTCATTGGTAACTGTACTCTGAAAGGGGAGTTTGCCACATGACCAAATTACGGCTTTAGAGGTTGTGTCTGCTTCCCATAGTTGACAAGTTAAATGCTTGTATGGCTCTCCTAAAAGCGCAAGGTCAAGCTTCAGTTCTCGTACCGTCTGCATAAGTAGGTCATGTGCAGCTTCTTAATGATTTAGATCTGGCTTCAGTATGCAGTTATGCTTATTTATTTGTCTTCTCAAGTGCTTATTGACATACCGGGCATGTGCAGGCTCCAGCATGATGGGCAGCATCCACTGCGCTTCGATGTTCAGCCCATAGTGTACATTTTGCTTGGTTTGGATAGCTAGCAATTTTGTGCTCCTCTTGACCGCACCTAATGCAAAGGTTTGAACGGTTCACTTTACTTCTGCACTGCAATCCGTGATAACCAAAAGCCCAACATTTAAAGCACTGAATTGGCTTATTAAATGTTCTAATGCGGCAGTTCACCCATCGAATTCGAATTTTGCCGACTCTATCCAACAATTTCTGCGCCATGGCCGCTGGTAATGTTACTGTAGCAACTCCAGAACTACGTAGTGGGTGACTCTGTAGGCTTTAGGCACCTTGATTGCCTCCAGTGGTGTTTTACAAGCTTCTTCAGCTGCTTTTTTCAGAGCAGTCTGAATGTCGGCCTTAGTTGCTTCGTCATCAATGCCTCTAATTTTGATTGTCACCTATGGCCCCCACTTTGGTGTCTTCCTTAAGAATGCAAGCAATTGTATTTTGCAGTCCTAGGTCTTTGTCTGTGCGCTTTCTCGAAGTTATAATCAGCATGTCCCCGGTCCTGGTCTCGTTGATCTTATCTACCGTCGACCGGGCCTGCACGTCCGGGACCTCCTGCTTGATTCGAAAAAGAATCTCAGCATACTTTGCCTTCTCCTCTGGTCGAATTAAAAGTACGTTCTGTTTGAGCATTGAGATGCTCCTTCGGCTGCTGCTTTGCGTTCTGTTCTTTGGCTAGCCTTTTCTCTTATCTTTTTAATTGGAACTTATGCCAATCAGCGGCCTTGCTCTGCTTGGTGCAATATTAAATATTTTCAAATAGATACTGTAGATAATAGATAATAGATTATAAATACAGTAACAATGTCTAATATTTATAAGAATTATATAAACGAAATTGCGAAGTTGAAATTATTTCTTCAAAGTATATTAGAACTTTAGTCAGAATTAAATTAAAATCTGAATTATTTTCGATATACAAAAAAAAGTATGAAAAAAAATTTTTTTTGAAAAAAAAATTAAACCATTTTTTTCGAAAGCAATTATTTTGTTAAAACAAGCAGAAATTTCTTTGAATCTTTTGACGCTCAATTTCTTCAAAAACTGCATTTTTTGCACATTTAGCCTTGTATCTTCGAAATAGCTGGACCTGCCTTTGCCAAAAACTAATCACGTCTTCTCCCAATTATTACAAATTGAATGTTTTTTAGATCATTCAAATCGGATACCCTACGAAAAGTTAATAAATGAATTTATGAGTGATTAAAAGTATTTCGAGTGGGTTTATTACACATAATTGAAAACGAACGAACACATTAACTCGGAGTATTTTCTAAAAGCTAATTTTCAAAAATCAATAATTTTTATGATTGAACCAGTTTCCGTAGGACTTTAATGGTTTAGTATGTTCAATAAGACTAAGTACTATCGTTATACCAAGTAAATCGTCTAATTTTAATTTTAAGAAACGCCAACAAAACTACTCATTTTCTCAAATTTTGATGATTTTTTTTAAATTAAACGGCTTGCCGTAAGACCTAATATTTCAGTAAGTTCTATAAGACAATTGTATATATCGCCAAAAAACGTTTCATAAAAGTCGGCTTAAATTTTTTTTCAACAGTTAATTACAAGATACGGCTCGGTTGATTTTCACTTAAAACTAATCAGTATCATTCCCAAGTAATATCTTTCGAACAGTTTTTGATGTCTTAAAATCGATTCGGTAGTATGAGCTTAAATTTGGACGAGAAGTTTAACACCTTTTTCAAATTACAAAAAAAACGGCTCAGCAGATCGTCGCACAAAACTGACAAACGATAGTCCTCATTGAGATACATCAAATGGCTTTTAAATTTCTGAAATCGGTTCAGGCGTTTTTGAGAAAACGTCGATCAAAAGATTAATTTTGACAAATGCCAAAAAAAAAACGATACTAATTTTTGCATATTTTGACGAATTTTTAAAATTAAACGACTTGACGTAGGGCCGTAATATTTTAGTATAATCTATAAGATAAATGTATCTACCGTCAAAAAAAAATCATGAAAATCGTCGAAAAAAAATTATAACACTTTATTACAAGAATTTTCAAAATCGATTGAGAATTGCGGGCTAAAACGTGGACAAAAAAATCACTTTTCTGCGATTTACAAAGAAACGGCTTGGTCGATCGTCGCGCAAAACTGACAAGCGATAGTTCTCATCGAGATACATCGAATGGCTTTTAAATTTTTGAAATCATAAAATTAGCGAATCGAATTTTTTTATGAAAACATAAACTTCTCCTTCGGAAGTTGGCGCTCAAAAATTAACATTAGACATATGTAGATCGTATTAGCAGATATTTTATAAAGAGTATAGTAATAAGTATAAAGGTTACATTTATATGGGTTCCGTACCAGTGTTTACACGTTAGACGACTATGCGGCGTTCAAGCGCTTTGATATTTCAATTCGAAATGAGCTATGCATTGCGTTTGAAATAGAAATCAAAATAAATAAATAAATCCAAATAGAAAATAAAATTAAATTTTGCAAAAGGGCCAAATTTCTTCAAACATTTTAGAATTTTTCGAAAATCTAATTTTTTCAAAGTTTTTTTTTAATATACTAGTTTTCAGTACGGGAAGTTCCAGCAATTTGTCTTAATACACGATGCCATGCACCACTAGTTGAGTATTATTTTACAAAAATAAAAAATAAAAAATGTGATAAGTTCTCACCTGTAGCCTCGTGAAGCTGGTGCGCGGCTTCTTTCGTTTTGGTGGAGTTCTGTTCTGGTATGGGTGACCTATCCGCCTTGCCATGGGAAACGAAGCTGTTGACAAAACAAATTCTTGTAATAAAATTATAACGTTTGTCCAAACTCTAAAACTTATTAGCTTACACTAACATATTATAATAATGTCAATAAGTTAAACGAACCGTTTACTAACTTCCCGTAGGGTAGTTATAGTAATGGGCCGAAAATAGAAAATGAAAATATTTGCGTTTCCCTACGTTTTGAAAGTTACTGAACATTTTGGCATACCTCAGAAAAAATGAATGTGTGTGTGCGTGTGTGTGTTTTGTGTGTACACATTTTTCGTTCAAGTTTTCGGGAGCACGGATCAATCGATTTGAATGATTCAAAAAACATTCGATTTTTATTGTTAAGAAGATGTGCTGATTAGTTTTTGAAAGAGGCAGCCGTTACGGAGATACGGAGCAAAGAGTGCAGAAAATAGAAACTGAGTTTTTGAGAGAGCAGAGCATCCGATTTGAATGATTCAAAAAACATTCAATGATGGGAGGGAGAAGTTGTTTCGAAGATAAAAAGCAAAATGTGCAAAAAATGGAAGTTTTTAATTATAACTTTAACCTTTTAGTTTAACTTTAGCTAAATTTCTAAAAATCACTTATATACTTTAAATGAATAAATTTAACTTTGCTATTCAGTTTATATAAATCTTATAAATATTAAGCAATATTCTTTATTTTAAATTTGATTGATTGAGTTTTCTGTAAACATATATAAAATACAGTATTTATAATAATCGATTTGAAAACATTTAATTTTTCTCGAATATTTCTTTACAGTACGGGAAGTACCAGCAATTTGCCTTAATGCACGATGCCATAAATCATTAGTTTTTATTTAATTCATTCAATTCATTTTTAGTCTTTCATATTGATTCCGATAAGATGTGTACGAACCATAAGTAGTAAACAAAACTTTAAGTGAAAGAAATTATTTCTTTATCAAAATTACAAAATATCGTATATTTCGTATATAACTTTTACATCCGTGCGATATAATAATTTCACTTCTGAGTTACTAAATTTAGTAATATGTACGGTACGTTAAACAATTTCATTTTAATTTCTTATATGCATTATCGGTCTCGATTTTGCAAGCGTGACAGTAATTCTGGTCCACTCAATAGTATGAAATCAAATTTCCATAAACTGTTTAAGATTGAAATCCAATTGGGTTTGTAAAATAAAATTAATATATAGAACTCCAAGTTCTATACAGGTCTTATGCATATAAACAATTATTTTACTAGTGTAATAATGTCAATAAAAACTTTAGAATATATGTGTTTATTCTCCTAGAAATTCCAAGCAGTTATTATAAATATGCAAATAATTAATTATTTTAATTTATAAAATAAACTAGTTGTGTATGGCATCGTGCTTTAAGGCAAATTGCTGGTACTTCTCGTACCGTAACGAAATGTTCAAGTAATATTAAATGTTTTCATACAGATTATTATAGATACTGTAGCATTGTCTAATATTTATTTATAAGAGTTATTTAAACTGAATTACAAAGTTAAAATTATTTATTTAATAAATATAAGTGAGCTTTAAAACTTTAGCGAGAATTAAAATTAAAATCTGAATTATTTTCGATATACAAAAAAAATGTTTTTGAGAAAAAAAAATGGAAAAAAAATGTGAAATAATTTTTTAAAAAACTGCCATTTTTTGCACATTTAGCTCGGTATCTCTGAAACGGCTGGACCTGACTTTGCTAAAATCTAATCACCACTTCTCCCCGTCATCACAAATTTAATGTTTTTTAGATCATTCAAATTCCATTCTCTCAAAAACTCGATTTCTAATTTGTGCACTCTTTGCTCCGTTCCTCGGAAACGGCTGGACCTACCTTTTCCAAAAACTAATCAGCACATTTCCCTATCAAAGGGAAACGAATGTTTTTGAACCATTCAAATCGGTTGTTCCGTACGCCCGAAAACGTGGACAAAACATTGTATCCATGCATACATACACACACATTCATTTTTTCTGAGGTATGCCAAAATGTTCAAAAGCCTTCAAAACGAGAAGAATTGGAAAAATTTTCAGTTTCGATTTTTGGACGACTACAATAACTTACTCGACGGGAAGTTAATAAGCTAATATTAGTGATGTGCCAAGTCGAATCAAGTGATTCGAATCATTCGAATCAAGCCTTTAACGACTTGAATATAAAACGCATGATTTATTTCAAGATTTATTTTTTATATGTATTATTATTATTATTTATATTTTTTATTATTATTATTTATATTATTATAATATTGAATTAAATTAAAACATTTTTTTATATTTATGAAAATTTGTGTTCATACATGTACACAATAAATATTTCGCGGCTTGATACGAGTTGATTCAAGTCGATATGAATTCATCCGAGTTCCTATGACTCAAACCGACTTATTTCGACTTCAAGTCGATATGAATTCATCTGAGTTTCTATGACTCAAACCGACTTATTTCGACTTCAAGTCGATATGAATTTATCCGAGTTTATATGACTCAAACTGAATCATTCCGACTTGAGTTCGAAACATGTGTCCGTGTGTTGGCGTATCGACTTATTGAGATGCAGTGCGTATGGGTCTTGAGTGTTTGTTTATTTTTGACTAAGCGCTGAGAGCAAATTTGTTCATGAAATATCAAAAACTCATTTAGATAATAAATACGCGATTTAGATTTTAATTATTATCATAATAAACTACACAACGAGTTTTATACACATACAAAATTATCATAATTTAATTATGCGAGTAATGGCAAATTCACACAAATGAAATAATATCAATCTTTACAGTAGTGGATTGAATTTTAAGTCATTCGTAAGACGTTAGATTCAGCGCCCTGTTTAGATTAGATCTAAACAATCAATAATATACACATGCATTCGTTCAACGTAAGATTAGGAATATTGTTTTGTTTTATATGCTTTAGTGATTAGATTAGATAGAGAAGTGTTTGGTTATATTTTAGTGAATAGATTAGATAGAGAAGTGTTTGGTTATATTTTACTGTAAATTCACTTGAAATATTAGTTATATTTGTAGCTAGTTTATTATATATATATATATATATATATATATATATATATATATATATATATATATAAATGTATTCATCTCTGCACTTTTTGGTATTAATTGCTTACTAAATTAATTATTTCACTTATAAAATTATTAAAATGATATTATTTCTTCTCTTAAGTTATAATTGTCCATATATGAACTTGATTCGAATTGATTCGAATCATGATTCGAATCAGGTTTTTTTCTGATTCGAATCACTCGAATCAGGAAATTTTCGAGTCGGCACATCACTAGCTAATATATAAACATTAAAAAAAGCATAATGCTAATTTTTGCAAAAAATAAATTTAGAAATTCGTAATCAAGATAATAATTCAATAACTTAGCATACGTTGATTCTGAGGTCGCATCATATCACTTTTAACTTCCCGTAGGGCAAGTTATAGTAATCGCAAAAAAATCGAAAATGTAAATTTTTGCATTTCTCGACGTTTCAAAGGTTTCTGAATATTTTGGCATACCTTAAAAAAAATGGATGTATGTGTGTGTGTGTGTGTGTGTGCGTGTGTGTATGTATGTGCGGATACAAATTTTCGTCGACGATTTCGGGAACACCGATCAACTGATTTGAATTTTTCAAAAAACATTCGATTTGTGTTGATAAGGAGACGTGCTGATTAGTTTTTGGCAAAGTCAGGTCTAGCCGTTCCGAAGATACGGGGCAAAAAGTGCCGAAAACGGTAACTCAGTTTTTAAGAGAACGGAGCGTCCGATTTTAATAATTCAAAAAACATTTTACTTGTATTGACAAGGTGAAGAATTGATCAAATTTTCATAAAGGCAGGTCTAGCGGTTTCGGAGATCTAATGAAAAAAGTATAAAAAAATGCCATTTGGCGGTCAAAAATGATCATTAGACATATGCACATCAAATTATCAGACATTTTATAAAGATTTTAACAATAAGTATAATTTTGGTTTACATTCCTATGGGTTCCGTACCAATGTTTACGCGTTAGACGTCGACGCGGCGCTTTCGCAGTTTGATATTTCGTCTTTATGCAGTTAAAGCAGTACGATTGCTTTGAAAAAAAGTTTAGATCTTTCAAAATATGTCAAAATAAAGAAAACATTTTTTTTTAAATAAATTAAAAAAAAAAAAATTAAAAAAAAATTATTTTTTTTCAAAAAAAAGTAATTTTTTGTCTAATTGTTTGTCAAAAATCTTATTTTTTCGAAGTAAATTTTTTTCAAAAATGTTAATCGTTTTTAAAAAAAATAATAATTTTTGGTACGGGAAGTTCCGGCAATTTGCCTTAAGGCACGATGCCTTAATTGCCTTAAGACAGAATTCCACTTACAGCTAGTCATTAGTTATAGTACTAAACTAATATATGTATGTATATTAAATTGGGCAAGTGTGTTGCGCAAAGTCAGCACTTTGAATGTAAAATCTTATTATTAAATATTTGCATTCCTGCGTTTATGGTAATAAGCCTGGTGGCTCTATATCCACGCCTCGGCGATTTTCAATTAAACACAAGCGACAAATCAACAACGGCGATTCAAAATTATTAAAGTAATTATACCGACCGCAATTTCGTTTAATGAGACAATTTATTGTACGGAAAACACAACCTCTTGTACAAATGACTCATTGTTTTTATATTAAGAATTTTATTTCAAATTAATATTTGCACGATGATTCAATATGGCCGATTTGTTCGGGATGGCAGAGTTAAAGGAGAGTCGCACAAAGATTGATATTTGCGACGAATGATAAAGTTGGTAACCGCATAATTCAGTGGCGTACCAAGGGGGGGCGGCGGGGTCGGTCCGCCCCGGACGGCACTTATTTTGGGGCGGCATTTTTTAGTTTACTTATATATAGTTGTAAAAAACAACTTATTCATTTCATATTTATTAACTTCCGTAGGTTAAGTTACAGTAATAGGCCAAAAATCGAAAATGAAATTTTTTGCATTTCT